GTTATGCCTGCTCTCAGTGCCGTCCCCAGGGGCTCTGCCTCTCAGAGTCCCAGCAACCTCTCCAACCTCGGAGAGAAAGCTGCCTTCGAGTTCCGACTGAAGCCAGACAATCCCTCTTCTTCCGTTTGAGTCTGGGTCCCTAGAGACTCGCCCGGATCTGAAGCTCAGAGTCTGAGACTCCCTCCCGATTGAAACAGACAACCGCGCCCTCAGCCACCAGCCCACTCCGCATTCACTCCGCACCTTAGTATTTCACTTCAGCACTGCACCTCCTCTGAGTCTGGGTAAGATATTCTCCCTCCTCCTAGTTGTAGAATTTCCACTCAGCCAGCCTTCCTGTGGTTCTGGATGATGTCCGTTCAGTCTTTTAGTTTTATTTTTGAAGTGCTTGTTCAAGGCAGCAATCTCCGGCATTAACCTATGCTGCCATCTTGGTTTCTCCCCCTCCAGAGTTCTTGAGGGTCCTTCCCTTCACCCTAGAAGGACTCAGTTTCATTAGCTTTATGATTACTGCCCCAAAGAACAACTTCACAGTCTCCACACTGACTGAATCTCTTTGATTGGATAAGAATGAACTAGATGACTGCCTGGTCCCCAGGAATGAAACTGCTCTGTGCCCGGAGCCAATCAGAGGGCTCAGTGGGTGCCCTGCCTTGTTCTGTTGCTATGTGAAGTTAGTTTGTCTCTTGAAGGATTCCATAGGCATACCTTTGAGTTTCCCCCTCAGATTTCCTGTTGTCTTAATGTTATTCACTGAGCAGTCTGTATTTCCCCTGTCATTCTGGGTGTTAAAGATACCCCAAGTGTTAGAATTGGTGAGATGTGAGAATTCCTGAGCGTTATCATTGTTTTCAATATTATCAGCAGTATCCATTGGCGGTTTTAACATTGTATGATTACTCAGAGTCATAAATCCATTTTGAGGAAAGGATGTGTAACACACAGTATAAGTAAAATAAAAACACTACATTCCCACAACTCAGATAACAGGGAGGTGTTAGCTAGGGATGGACTTTAGTGTTTCTCCATGCATCCTTCTAAACCTTTTCTGTGCATGTATATACACACAAATGCACACAGGGTGTTTTTTTATCCAAATGAAATAAAATCATAAATATCGTTCTTCTATTTTTAAATCCTTTCCCAAGGATATTTTTTCATTTATTTTTACTTTATTTTTATTTTTTAAAATATATTTTTATTGATTTCAGAGAGGAAGGCAGAGAGAGAGAGAGAGAGAGAGAGAGAGAGAGAGAGAGAGAGAGAAAGAAACAACAAAGAAGAGAGAGAAACAAAAATAATGAGAATCATTGATTGGCCGCCTCCTGCAGGCCCCACACTGGGGACCAAGCCCACAACCCGGGCATGTGGCCTCGACAGGAAATGAACCTGGGACCCTTCAGTGCCCAGGCCAACACTCTATGCACTGAACAAAACCGGCTAGGGCTCCATTGATTTTTAGAGAGAGTGGGAAAGAGAGGGAAAGACAGAGAGAGATACCTATTGGTCTCCTGCAGGAGTCCCAGCCAGGGCCGTGGAGGAGCCTACAACCAAGATATAGTAGTGCCCTTGACCAGTAGGGAACCTGGACCCTTTAGTCCTCAGGCTGACACTCTATCCACCGAGTCACACTGGTAGAGCATAAATATGGTTCTTTAACTAATTCTCCAATCAGCATCCAATCCAGGATCATGCATTGTATCTTGTTTCTATCCCTTAAGTTTCTTCGAATTAGCACAGCTCTCAGCCCCTGTGGTCTCTATCTTTGTTTTATTTTTAGTTGCATTGACTTTTGCTAGAAATCATGAAAATTGTTCTGCAGAGCCTCTCCCTTTCTGGATTTGTCTGATTATTTCCTTGAGATATCATTTGCTGGTCATCCCTGGTTAACTGAAGGTTGGTTCTAAAGGCTGATGGGTTTAAGTTCATCCTCTTAGTGCACCTCTCAGGTGAAACTGAGGACAACAGGAGGCTGCTGTTGATTTACTGAGATGGCAGTCTGATCTCTAGAACCCGCAGCTCTGTTGCAATTAGAAAGTATCACGTGAGAGCATGAGCTTTATGAAAAGAACATACATATCATAATTCCATAATCTAGTTCAGTGTTTAATAGCAATAGCATAGAATGGGAAGTCCCCTGTGTTTCAGTGGATTTTGTACTTTTCCGAAATTTCAAATTCTATAACCAGTTCATATTCAGGATCCACAGTAAATGCTCTCTTCATGAAACACTGTCGCTGAGCAGTTGACCAGTCCTGACTTTTTATTTAAGACAACAAATGCCTTCCTGGATCTGGAGACATTCCTGTTGATAGGTTTAGTGCTTTTTCAAGTTATGCAGCATTTGAAACTTAGGAAGTTTTCTGGTAGAAACAGGAGGTAATCAGGAAATGAACAAACAAAAAACAAAGTAGAACCTACGGGTATATATATTCAAGCATTTAAGTGAATATTAGACGCAGGGACTGTAAAATAGAACTATAATAAAAACACTTGAAAGAAGAAATGTGTCCTTTTTAACTGTTTGCTTTTGAGATGGAAAGCTTAATGCAAAATTTGGATCTTATTACAGAAATTGAAAAGAGCTCATGCAAATTAATCTCCATTGCACCCGTAAAAAAGAAATTAAAAGCAGTAATGTTGAATGTGGTGTGTATACAGTAACATTTCCTAAGTATCTTCTGGGTCTAAAACTAGGAATGATATTCAATGCTTCCTTTTCCTCAGGCTACAGTATCATAGGATTCAATTTTGAATCTGATAATGGAGGCATTTTTGTAGCACAATAGCCCACAAAGGAAATATAGGAAGAAGAAAACAGACAGATTACTGAAGCAGAGATAAATGAGATACCTCAGTAAATGTTCATGTCTGGGCCTTCTTTCTTCAGTAGACAGGCATTAATTGAGCATCTAATTGTGTCCATTTCAAGGGCACACCGTCTTTATAGTTTAAATTGACCATTTCTTGGTGGCCCATTTCTTACTTTGAATTCCAAAGATAATTTTCTATGCTAATTGGAATGGCATGAATAGAAAGATGTTATAGATCTGGCAAACTTCACACTTAACTAACAAATT